GGCTATGGGAAAGTTGGTAGAGGAAGGTATCCTGTGGTGGGGGGGGGGGGGGGGGGGCGTGGGCAGAGGGGAGCATATTCACAGGATTGCTGGGCCACGCACGGTGCAGGTTGATGACAAACTACAGAACCCACCTCCCACAAGATCCATTTCAGAGCCTTTGGGTCTCCCAATCAAAGCTTACAGCTCTCGGGATGAGCAGCAGTGGAGCTCACAGACGCCATGGGGAGAGAGGCAGCCCGAGGAAGGAGAATGGGAAGACTAGCGAAAGGTCTGGAGGGTGGACAGGAAGCCACAGATGCAGAAAGGGAAGAACTGGTCCTCTTGGCTGAGAATGGCTTTCAAGAGCTGAGTCTGGTTCCTTCTGCCTCGTGTCAAAGATGGACAGACAGCAAGCTGGTGATGGGCAAACACCCATGTCATGTCTGCAATGCCATGAGGGCGGGGTGGGGATTAGGTAGAGCACTGTGTTGTCACAAAGTCAGTGGCCAAAACCAGCTCAGCCTCTTCAGCTCTGTCCCTCAGGGCTGAAGGCCCTCACGGGCTCCTGGCTGACAGAGATGAGGAAGGAGCCAGTCTCCACATACTTCTGGTTCCTAGAACCACTGGCAGCCTCTGCCTTATGATCTCACTCTTCGTTCCAAGCCCAGCTGCTGGGGCTGTATCTCTTTACCTCCAGAGCCTCTGAGTTTCTCTTCCCAACCTGTTCCACGTAACAACAGCCACCATACCACAGTTAACCATGGCAACCTCAAGTCCTTATGTTGACAGTGGCCACGGGACCAGAGTCGGTAAGGACCGCAGGATCTCGGTCGGCAACGAGCACAGGACCGTAGTCGCTCCGGGCTGCAGGACCACCGTCGGCCCTGAGCACAAGAACATAGTCACTAATGGCCACAGGACCTCGCTCGGCCCTGACCACAAGACCATAGTCACTAACGACCTCAGGACCTCACTCGGCGCTGACCACAAGACCATAGTCACTAATGGCCACAGGACCTCGCTCGGCCCTGACCACAAGACCATAGTCACCAACGACCTCAGGACCTCACTCGGCGCTGACCACAAGACCATAGTCACCAACGACCTCAGGACCTCCGTCGGCAATGGTTACAGGACTGTAGTCGACGAAGACCAGAGCGTCTCTGTTAGCAATGACTACTGTCACCAATGACCACAGGACCACAGTCTGCAATGGCCATGGGACCAGGCCAGCATGACCATAGGACCACAGTCAACAAAGGCCACAGGACAACGGTCAGCAATGGCAACCTGAAGTCTTTTTCTGCTGTGTAAGGCAACAAGCATGGCTTCTGGAATTGAGGTAGGACACCTGTAGTGGCCACTGTTCTGGTGAATGTCCCCTGGGTTCTCCTCTTTTTCCTTCCCTCTCTCCTTTCTCCTCTTTTTTTCCCTTTCCCTCCTTCCTCTTATCTTTGTTCTTCTCTCCTCCCTCTCTGCCCATTTTTACCCTGTCTTTTCTCTTCTCTCCTCCTCTCCTTCCCCACCTCAGAGGGACCAGCGAATGAGACAGAATGAGAAGTTGGCCATGGAGAAGAGGTTCAATAAAGCCCTTGCCCCACAACTTGGCATCTGGCCTCAGACTTGTCACCTCCAGGAGCCTAACAGGGGACAGAAGGATAGCATAGGCTGTGTCATTATCTTTCCTGACATTCTTCTGCAAGATGGAACTGGGTGCAAAGCTCACCTGTTCCCCTGGAAGTACCTAGCCAAAGCTTCTCACATTCCCTAGATGTAAACTAAGGAAACCACAGAATCAGACAGCGGGACACAAAATACATAGACAAACCTTCCCATCCTGGTCCTCATCTGGCCACTGTGACCCAATAGGCATGTCATTGTTAGGCAGTTCTCATTCAAACCCAAGAGCCGCCATTCCTAGGAAGGCACCAGAGCATCTCAGAAAGAACTGAACAAAAACCCTGGGACAGGAGGGGAGTAACCTCAGCTCCTAGCTTGCCCTTGGCAGACACACAGTTGTGGCTGGTATTATTATCTGGAAAGCTCCAAGTTACAGGGCTGGAGCTGTGGCTTGGTGATACGGTGCCTGCCTGCTTGCTAAGCTTGTGCCAGGGCCTAGGTTCAATCCCGAGTAGCAAGAGAAGTAGGAAGGGTGAGAGGAAGGGAAGAAAGGGAGGGAGGGAGGGAGGGAGGGAGGGAGGGAGGGAGGGAGGGAGGGAGAGAGGGAGGGAGGGAGGTTGGTTCAAGTTCCAAGTATGGGACATGAATGTTTCTAGAACATTCCTGCCCCTCTGGGGTGAGGGGTAACTTTCCGAAGGTATAAGCAATGACCAGGAACCATGAAAGACAGACAGTGTGTGAAGGGACTGCTGAGGGTGTGTAACTTTGCATGTTTTAAACTGTGGGTTAGTGGAGATGGAACACACCAGCCCGAATCGCTGACACAGCGATTCTCCATCCTGCTCCACCTCAAAGCTTGACACAAACAGAGAGACCACATGGGGGCATTTGCCCAAGAAGGTAGGGGTCAGAGACCTCTGGAACGGACTGAAATCCTGGGAAATGACCCCTAAGTCCACCAAAGGGATGTCACACCAGCAGGTGACAGAGGTAACCCCTTCCCAGGTCCTTGTCTATAGCCCTAGATACTGACAACAGAATGAGCCAGACAGCACCCCTAAACCCATGTACCCCATCTTGCTCTTTCTTGGAACACAAACTCTGAGGGGCATTCTGGGCAGTTTCCCACTAGCTCATAGCTTGCCAAGCCTGAGAGAGTGGAGACACGAAGGGCTCTTGCTCTTGCTCACGATGGAGGGGACCTGGTAAGGCCTAGCTCAAACTGTCTGTCGCTCACACCGACTCTGAACATTTGAGCCCCTGAGGACCAAGGGGCATGTGTCAAACTGTCCCAGGATCCACTGTGTTCAGGAGGGAAGTGGGGTGAACCATAGCAACCTCTGAGTCTCCCCTCCCTAAGGGCTGGCTGCTACTGTGGCTTCAGGTCCCCTAGGTGGTGGATTTGCTTCATTATGTACAGAATGTGAGGGAGGGAGTAAGATGGCCTCCACTGGTCCCAACGGCAGAACATGGCTCCTGATGGCTAATGTCACCCAGGGACACTTAGGTGTCCACTCCCTTACTGGGCAGTGTTGTTGCCATGGTTACAAGTGCAGAGCCAGTTTAAGCTTGAAGTGTCCTGCCCCTGGCTATGACGGCCATGCAGACAGGATACTAGAACTTGAACTGGTCTGCTTAGCCTCACTCACTGGCGGCTGGCCTTTCTTCCATCTGTAGTCAACCAAGCTCTGGTCTTTTGTTTTGACAACACCCCAAGGCCCAGCTCCCAAGTGACAGTGTCCAGACCAGCCATCAGAGATGCAGATTCCAGCCCAGGCTGCCAGGATCCAGCCACCGCTAAGCAAGCACATCGCTCCTTCTGAACATCAGCTCCTTCTCGGAAGCGGATCAAGACTCAACATGCCAGCCACTGTAAGAACCAACTAAAGCACCCTTGAAAGCAAGCTGGCCCTGTGATGTGGAGGCTGTGGTCCCTTGCACATGTGGAGGCTATGTCCTGAGTAAAGAGGGTGTCCTGAGAGCTGCTGCCCAATGCCAGACTCCCACGGAGTCATGGGATTTTGCTTTAGCAGGGCCTACGCCCGCCCTGCCGGAGTTCCGTGAATACAACCGACCCTCAGATAATCCTCCCACCCATGCCCATAGCTTTGCCCTTGGTACCACCCAGAGTCCCTTTCAAAAGCAGACCCTTTCCTCTGAACCCAGTACTCAAGGACCCATTATCAGGGTCCTCTCAGCCTTCGGTGTGCAAGGCAGAGGGGTCCACTGCAGGTTCAGAGAGCCACAGAATTCCTCAGAACCCCAGGAAAACAGCTGTTACCTCTAGATTCTGGAAAAGTGGGGAAATAGATGCTGGTGCAGAAGAGACCCCCCCCAAACAGGCAACTGCCTCTAGAGGCCTGGGTGGGGGTGCAGGTTAACACTCCCTCCGAAGGTCACAGACATACTATGCTGGGAAAGAGGGGTGGATGCAATTGCAGGTGCACGCATGCAGAAATGTGGTGCATGCCTCTAAGTGTCTGCACGTAAGCACGCGTACATGCACATGACCGTGACATTATAGCTGTGTCTGCCTAGCTTATATGAAGCGCGCACACATACACACATGCGTAGATCGTGGAAGCTCCTAGGCCCCACTCTGCCCACATTGAGGGTTCCCTAGGAGAGACAAGCCAGTCCACAGGGAAAGGAGACAGGCTGACCGGAGATGTGAACACTCTTTGGGTCTTCCAGCCCTATTAACTGAAAACTGACCTGGAGTATACAGACTGGGTTTGAGGGGGCAACACAACAGGAAAGCATTCTGCAGAGGGAAGGAGGTCTCATCCATTGTTCAGCCCAGAACCCAGATCGGAAGTAAGAAGGGATAACCCAGGCTGGTAGGTGGGTACCAGGCCATCCCCAGGGACACGAGTCCTGAGCAGGGATACAAAGCTGTCAGAAGGCAACTAGCGTCAGTAGAAGGTGAATCCCAAGAGTCATGGCCCTTTAAGAAATCAAGTCCTAAAGATTCAGAAAAGTTATCTCTGGCATGACAGTGTTGCCTATAAACCTAAGGAACATCACCTTGTAGAAGCACCCGCACTGTGGCTATCCAGATGCTGTGGGCCCCAGCCTGGAGGCCACACTGAATCGTTAGTTCTCTCGAGGAGTGCTGTCAAATGATGACCGCTCCCTAGGATGTGAGGGTGGGACCCTGACATGTAATGTTTACCGATTTCCTTGGTGTAGAGCCTCTGCGTGGTCGGATTCAAGGTCGGTGGTACGAGGTCACTCCCAGAATCCCTGAAAAGTGAATGACAACCATTATGATCTAACTATTGTCTAGCTAGTTGGAGATGCTCTCCCAGCTGGGAGGGCCTGCAGACAGATGTTGGCAAGGTTGTGAGGGAAAGGTGTTGGCTAGAATTGAAGACGACAGAATCCCAGTCAGCAGCTTCCAGCACAAAAAGCTTTATTGAGGGCTCACAGAAAGGCAGCGAGGGGACAGGGTCAGGTTCACGACTGAGTTTCCAAGAAAGGCAACTTAGAAGCCGTTCTAGGAGCCTAGTGCCCTGAGAGCTGCCACAAGCCAGAACACTCCATCTCGGTCTATGACGTACGACCCCTCAACCTCTGACCCCACCCAAGGAATTCAATTTAGAACCATGTCTTAGGCAATCGCATGTGACTGGTGAGAGAGAAAGTGCCCAAAGGAACTTGTTGGTGGGACCTGGGATGATAGCTTTATACTGATGGGGGAGGGGAGGGCCTGACACTGAGCCATACCACCCACCGTGCCTGAAGAACATTTAGGCACCACTCTCTCCTGTATGGCAAGATCTCATCTACCTTCCAAAGTCAGGGGTGGGTGGGGATGGGACTGCACAGAATAGGGGAAACTGACCCAGAGTCCTGGAGATCTAGAGGGTCTGTGTGGAGTCAGGGAAGGAGAACATCTCATTCAAGGAGAGAAGGAGGGTGAAGCTGGCAGGAGCAGGTGGGATCCAGGGAGAAAGACAGTCTCAACGCAACCACCCCCATCTGCAAGTCTCCACCAGAGTCTCCGGCCTCATACACTTATCCTGTGAGCTGGTCATGGGAAGGAAGGGAAGGGCATCTTAAAAAGTGAATGGAATGGCAGCAGGGTTGGAAGCTTGGATGAGCAGGAGAGTGGCGAGGTCTCTGGGGTTCTCCTTACAGGAAGATGGGGCATGCTTTCTCCAGGGTCCATACCCCGTCTCCTCTTCCCAGCAAGGGCTGAGCAGGGGCCGTATAAATGTGCAACCAGGTAGGGTCAAGCCCTGGGCTAAGAGCAGCAGGCCTGGCAGTGAGTTGAATAGCCTGGGAAGGAGCCCTACCCTTGTGTATCTAAAGGGCCCTGTAGGGTGTTTCTGGGACGAGAGCAGCTAAAGACTCCATCACCAGGCCTCCGCCATGTTCCTTTCGGACCTGCTTGTGTCAATGGGACAGTGGCAAGCTCCTAAGTACTAAGTAGGATGGTAGAAAGGCTGCAGGGGCTGGGTACCTCCCAACCTGTGCCCCCCGTCTGGAAGCGGCTACCCTCCCTGTACCGGATCACACCATACAGTGAGAGGAACGTAAGCCATACCCTCTGCACTGGCACCTCCCAGAGTAGGTACCAGGCTAGAGGTGTCCCTGTCCATAGAATAGGCATCGCTACTACAGCACCGCCACAGTATCAGGATGGAACCCGGTCCTTAATTCAAGCCCTCATCTCTGGCTTTTTAGCCTCTTTTCCTAGGCACAGAACCCTTCAGGATCCAGCTCTTCCCTCAGCATCTGCCTCCTCTGAATGCTTAACTGGACACTGTTTGTTGAGCACGTCTGTGCCATGGGGGTCAGGCAGCTGTCACACCAGTGACTGATGCCCCTAAGGAGGCTGTCTGGAGGTTCCAATTCTCATGGGAATGGTCCTACCAGCTCTGCCAGGGTCTGTCCCTGAAGACAGTGTAGCTTGGCCCAGTGCTGTGGAAGAATATTGGGCAGCTTGGGGGCTCATCCAGGGATCCAGATTAGTATTCTATTCACACTGCAGACGCCGGGCATGGTAGCCCCATGGCCACCACCATGCAGGTGTGGGCATTCGGCAGTGGGGAAAGTCTGGAGTTCACGAGTGTTTTTCTCTTTTATATACTTCTGCAGCTGACAGTTGTGTGGCCTCTGGCAACCGTGTCACATGGTGACAGAACTGTGGGTCACAGTGACGGTAAGACCAAGTCAGGCCAGCTCCACGCTCCTCCCCAGCACAGTCTCACCTTGCCCCTGCAGATCACAAGAGAATTTCCAGCAGATACAGAAGCTGCATTCCTTTCTGCCCGGAGGGGCATCTAGACCTGACACTCAGCACCCACAACACACACACACACACACACACACACACACACACCTTCTACACTCATTTGCTTCTCCCAGATTCTCAACGACATAGCTTAGGGTATAAACACTTATACAAAAAGACGGTAAATAATAAAACTGGAAGTCAGTCGAGTTAGGTGGTTAGAACATCTACCCCTGAACATGAAGTAATTACAGGTAAGAAAGTTGATCAGTGAGCTCTGGGATTTCAGCGAGGTGAAGAGAAGGTTCTTGTTGCTAGAGAAAAAGCAGCACTCCTGTTGATTGGTGGCATGGGGACCTCAAACTCCAGTCCCTCCTCATCCTCCTGAAGAAAGCTGCTTTAGATATTGGCAGTAGAAAGCAAGGCACAAGAGCCGCCGTGATTCACAGGCTTGCACCGTCCAGGCACGGATGGAAGGGGCAGAAGCTGGGGCGGCCCATAAGTGGTCTGGCAGTTGACATGGCCATGGTGAGCCCATGCTGGACCTTTCTCACGTTTCTCCATTTCCTCCCTCTCGATGGGCTGAAATTTTGGCACGAGAGCAACTAAAAAAAAAATACCTCTCAGGACAAAGGTCAGCACAGGCTGGGGTGCAGGATATACTTTGCCCTGACCTCTCTGGAAAGGTCTAGATTGCCAGTACTCTGATCTGGGAAAGGGCAAACATCTCTGGGTTCAGATGTCCTGGGTAAACAGAATGAGCCATTTCTCAGTGGGAAAACGGCTGGCGCCATCCTCCCCATCAGGGCCCAGTCCTTGCGTGCACAAGCGTTCATTTTCCACAGCGCGGTGTGAAAAAGGATGGCAGGTTGGGCAGCTCACAGACCTATACCACAAGCAGCCTGGGTTTAAGTGCCAGCCGAATCCAGGCCCTGGCAAGGCTTTCTGTTTACCTACCCATTAAGATGGGCGACCCTCGCTACAGTGTTAGGCAGCGGCTGCAGGGACCAAATGCCAACTATGAAAGTGCTTTTTGGGCTGTACAGCTGTAATGCACCTCCCTTGGGGACACAAGAGCACCATCACCTCCACCTGCTGCAGAAAACCAGGGCAGCCAGGCTCAGTGGCCCACCAGAGGCGGGTGCTAGGGCCCAGGGCTGAGGGGCTCCTTGGAGACCGGAGCACTGGGCAGGGACTTCAGGTACTCCAGATGTCGTCTGGCATCCTCCTGGTTGTGGCGGACGTAGTACACTACGTAGGCAATCACCATGGTAAACCAGCCGAACATGGTGACCAGCATGGCGACATCGGTGGTCTTCCGGTGGGTACTGCAGAAGCTGGCACCTGAGTCCAAGACCTGGATCAGCGGCTTGCCCACGAACTGCTCCTGTGCCGAGGTGTGGCAGGCAATTTCATCCACAGAGTCGGGGTCCAGCTTCAGTTCCCATAGGGCCTCCTGGAGGGCACACTCACAGTGCAGTGGATTGTGGGACAGGCGGATCTTGGCACTCAACTTGCCCAGTGCGTCCTTTGGAATTCTTCGGATGCGATTGTGGGATAAGTCCAGGAGCCGCAGGCCCCCAGCCAGACCTGAGAAGGCTGCTGGTCCGATGGCCTCAATGGCATTATGGGACAGGTCCAGCTCCCTCAATTGGGGTAGGTTCTGGAAGGCTCCATTGGGGACTCGGGAGATTCTGTTGGCATCTAGTTTCAGAAGCACCGTGTCAGCTGGGATGTCCCTGGGGATCTCCTGCAGCCCTCTTGAGCTGCAGTGGACAGCCACAGCCCCGGCATGGTCAGGGCACTGGCAGGCCTGTGGGCAGGAGGCACCTAACCGTAAGCAGAAGAGGATGAAGAAGCAAGAACCCTGGGAGGGGGCCAGTGGGGATGTGGGGCTCTGCCTGCCCCTGGGGCCCATCTTGACTCTACCTGACCCAGGTAGGTCTTCTCTACTGGGATTTGCAAGCGAGTGTCCTTCCTGACGTTGCAAGCAATCATCCAACACAAATTCTTGTGTCTTCGCCTGCTGAAGAACCTAGTGGTTTCAGTTCTACAAGAAAAAAAAAAAAAAACGAATGAGATCTGAGGGTGACTAGCACTGCCCGTTTCAATCCATTTTAGAAGGACAAGACCAGGGAGGAAAAGAATCATAGGCACACCAGGTTTGAACCAGGCTTCCAGGCTATCAAAATATACCTGCCTTGTAAACTTACTCTGGAAGATTCCCAAGGCCACCCAGAAAAGCATCTCCCAGCTAAGACATCTAGGGCTGACCGATAGCTGGAGACTGGCCCTAGCGAGGTAGTTACAGAACCCTGCCCTAGCCTTCTGGTCACCCACCCATAGCTGGGGACACAAGTCTGGGCGGAGGCCCAGGGATCCATCGCTCTCTCCCCTCCCCCAGCTCCAGGCTCGTGCTGGCGGAGGGCTTCCCTCCGGATCCATGCGAGCCAGGTCGGGCGGGGCAGGTAGCCGCGTTCGCCAGTGTGTCCCCAGGCACTCGGCTACCTGTGACACCTTTAAAGATCACGATCATCAATAGAGCTCGCCGCGCACCCTGAAGCAGTAGCTCCACGCCCGCCGCGCTGGAGACACCAGAGAGGAAAAGCAGCCCCCTGCGTGCGGCCCGGCTGGGCGGGGAGCGGCGGCAGAGAGCAGGGCGGCAGGGCAGGGACACTGGAGTCCCGCGGGTGGGAGGCCACGCGGGCGGATAGGGGCTTTACCTGAGCGGCTACGGCTGCTCTACGCCTTCCGAGCTTCCCGGAGCCTGATCAGAGCCCTCTCGGCGCCGCGGCGACCCGCCCGGTGCCCACCCAGCGGCCAGTAAAGGAGGGAGGCCGGCAAGCCAGGGCGGGAGGGGCGGGGGCCTTTGCGATAGGGGAGGGGCCGGCAAGAGGAGGGGCAGGGTGGGGCTTGGGACAGAGGGGCGGGGTTTTGTGGGTTGGGGCGGGGCCTTGAGGGGAGGGGTGGGAGAGGAGGGATGAGTGGAGGGGGCCTTGCGATAGAGGCAGCGCCGGTGGGAAGGGGTCCTAGTAGGGTCCTTGGTGTTCTGTGCGTTGGGGGACGGACGGGGCGTTAGCATGTTGTGGGTGGGAGGGGCCAGGTAAGGGCGTGGCCTGCGTGCTGAGGGGCGGGGTCTCTAAAGGACTGTCCCGTGCGAGAGGAGGGGCTTATAGGAAGAGGGGCTGTGGAGGGGAGGGTGCTATTTGAGGAGGGCCAAGGCCTTAAGGGGAAGGGCCGGATAGGTGAGGGTCCGGGTAGGGTCTGGGGCTTGCGTAAGGAAGAGCTGAACAAAGTTCATAGAATCCTACGGGGCCAGCACACCGAGCGGGGAGCCTAAGGAGGGGTGCGCAGGGTTGTGGGCGAGGTTCGTGTGAGGGGCGGGGCCTGGTATGTAAACTGCCCTGACTGGGGTGGGGATGTGGGCGGGGTCTGGAGGGGCGTAGGCGGGTTTAGGTACCGGCTTTCTAGGGCATTGGTAAGGGAAGTGTCCGTGGGCGTGCCACGTGGCCAAGCCCCGCCCTGAGCAGCCCCTCTGCATAACTGACACCCTTCACCCCAAGTCTCAGGTCTAGGGTCAGAGCACCCTAGAAAGGCCAATGGGGGTGTCGACGCGGGACCTGATCCTCAGCCCGGAACCTGTCACCACCGGTCCTCAGGAGGACCCCAGTCTCCTTTTGTCACCTGCCTTCCTCGCGCCGTGGAGTCTGCGTTTCCCACGACTTCCATAAATGGCCTCCTATCACTTAGGTTCTCTTTCCGCCTTCTTATTTCGTGGTTCACCACGCTGAGTGGCTCCCAAGGTCCACTCGGTGTCAGTTTCTGTATCTGTAACCTGTTCGGCTGGGGTTTGATCTGGAATTCTAACAGAAGGGCCATGGGAGCATTATGCCTTGAGTGCATCCCCTGAAGGGCAGTGGTTGGAGCATGTTTGGCTCCGTGTTACACCCCACTGACAACACAGCTCCTGCTGGGCCAGTGGCACTGATTGAGGACACTCTGGGTGTGGAGCCATGGCTTGAACTGTGGTATGGATCTGTGTCACCCCAAAGGCTCATAGTGTGGTCTTGTCTGTTTCCTGTCTTCTCCATTTCTCTGCTTTTAGATGAGTCGTTTTGTTTTCCTTAATTTTGTGAGAGTTCTCTGGAAACACCTCCTTATCAGGCTCATAATTTGTAAATATTGTTTCTCGGGCTGTCTTTCTATTCTTCTGACAGTTTTTCCCACAGTTTTTTCTTTTTTTTTAATTTTGAGAGAGTCTAACTCAGCAGTCTTCTTTCTCTGGTGGAAAATGATTTGGGGGTATCTTATGTACGATGTCTTTGTCTTAGGTAAAAAGCCACAGGGTCTTGTGGATGTACAGATCCGAATTTGAGTCTGGGTTTGGAGTTGATCTGGGTAAGTAGTGTGAGACATAGTAAACAGCTCATTTTGTCTGTTGTTGAGAGGAACATTTCTTCTCTAGTTGCTGAGAATATTTTTTTTAGTTAGGAGTGGATGTTGGATTGTGTGTGTTTGTGTGTGTATTATTCAATGTATATGAGGAGTACACTGTCACTGTCCTCACACACACACACCAGAAGAGGGCATCAGACCCCATTACAGATGGTTGTGAGCCACCATGTGGTTGCTGGGATTTGAACTCAGGACCCTGGAAGAGCAGTCAGTGAGTGCTCTTAACTGCTGAGCCATCTCTCCAACCCTGGATTTTTTTTTAAGTCCGTTAAAATCAGCTTATAGCAATTGATCTTCAAGTGTTAAATTGGCCTATGTTTACAAGTGCCAAATTTTTCCCTTTAGCCTTATGTTTTGTATAAATCAAGAAAGTTTCTGTCTCACCCAAGCTACTGCAGTTGTCAGTATAAAGGAGTTCAAGTTCGTAACACACCCCTGAAAGACCTTCAGTGTCCATGACTGTGAGTGATTGCCACTGTCCTCACGAATGACTCCTCTTGTCCCCTGTGCTTTCTCTCTGATAACCCGGGAGAGACATGTACTGATTTTATTGATCAACTCAGAACAACAAATTTTGGGTTAAATAGCTTCTCCACTGTTTCACTTTTCCTCCCTTGACTTCCTCTCTGAACATCGTTCTGCCTCTTGCTTGCATGCATTTAACTTCCTCTTCCCTTCCTAGTTTCCTCAGCTGGAGGCGGGGCTACTGGACAGTGTTTCCTTTCCCAGCATAGGCACTTCCTGTTGTCCTGTTTCTGCTGCATCCTAGAACTTTGATGTTTATGGGTTTTTTTTTTTCTTATCAAGTTTAAAATTCTCTGTAACCTCACATTCTAGTTTTTTTTTTTTATAAATATTTATTTATCTGTGTTTGGGTGGTCAGGCAAATGGCCCCCGAGACTGTGGAGGTCAGAGGACAACTTGCTGTAGTGAGAATTTTGGTTTCTTTAAAAACCCAGTTAGGTTACGTGAATATGTTTTTGTTTGAATCTCAGGTGTGGGATAAGAGGTTGCTTCACAGCAGGTGATTATGATTTGTCTCGTGCACTGGCAGGGGCGTGATTTTTGCCAGCTGCAGAGAGTTTAATTCTATGGATTCTGGAGAGAGTATAAATGAAGGAACCCCGAAGGGGGCTGTCCCCCTGCCCACTTCCCATGATTCCTGTTGTTGCAGTTTGACAATCCTGCTCTCGTCCCAAAGAACCCAATGCCCCTAACCAACAGGAAGTAGCCTATTTTGTTGGCTGAAAGAGGTCTATGCCCTTTTCCTTCTAGTGTTCCCTCCCTTCTCTCCTACCTAGTGTTGGGGGGGATTAGAAGGGATCAGGGAGGAATAAAGGTGGAACCCAATAAAATAGGTAGATTAAGAACCCAATAAAATATCTTAAAAACATATATGTAAACAACTTGCAGAAGTGGGGTCTCCCTTTCTACCATGTGGGACCTAGGGATCAAACTCAAGTCCTCCGGCTTGGCAGCAAGCACCTTTTTCCTGCTGAGCCTCCTCACCAGCCTCTCCAGTTCTCATGTGGTTCATGAGTTTAACGGTATGTCATTCAATTTCCAGATGTTTGGAAATTTTCCAGCAAACTGTTATTACTAATTTAAATACATTGTCAGAAGATATATTCTATATTTCAGGTCCTCTTAATCTTACTAAGAACCGTTTACGGTCCAGAATACAAAGGTTTGCATGCACTCAGATGTGTTCTGCTGCTCAGTGGGGTGTCTTATGGTATGGAGGCTGCTGGCTACATCACAGAGACGCTTGTGGAATTGCCAACTTGCCTAGGTCCTCTAGTAATTACTGACATGTGGGGATTGAGAGCCCTAATTACAATTGTAGATTAGGTCCATCAAGATGGCTCATCTGGTAAAAGCACTTGCTAAAGCCCTACGGCCTAAGTTCGATTCCCAGAATCCCCAAGTGGGTAACAAGAGAGACTGGATCTACAAAGAAATCCTCTGACCTCCACATGTGCTCTGTGGTGTGAGTGTACACACACACACACACACACACACACACACACACACACAAACACATCATGCACAATCGTAAATATAATGGTTTGGGGGTGGTTTGTTTGTTTCAAAACAGGGTTTCTCTGTGTACTTCTGTCTGTGCTGAAGCTCACTCTGTAGACCAGGCTGGCCTCGAACTCAGAGATCCACTTGTGTCTGCCTCCTGAGAATTGGGATGAAAGTCATGCACCACTACCACCACCCAGCTAAAATAAAATGGTAAAAAAAAATAAGTTTAAAAATATTGTAGATTATGTGTGTGTGTGCAAATTTGTATATGTGGGTGTATGTATGCTTACACGAATGTGTGTGTGTGAACACTTGTGTATATATGTATAGACTGGAAGCTGATGTTGCGTGTCTTCTTCAGTCTCTACCTTAGTGTTGAGACAGTATCTCTCAACTCAGAGCTCACCAATTTGGCTAGTCCAGCTGGCCAGCAAGTCCCAGGAATTCTCCTGCCTCCACCTCCCCAGCACTGAGATTACAGACACAAGCTACTGCGCCTGATTTTTTAAAAACACAGGTGCTGGGGATTTGAACTCAGTTTCTCAAGCTTGTACAGTC